TGGCCAGCTCAGGCCAGACAGAGCGAGGTCTGCACTATGTGAAACTAAGACGTCAGAGACTTTCCCAGGTGACAGAGTAAATGCCTAGTGGTGAAGGGGAATGCCTGGGCAGAGTGGTCACTGAAATCTTCCACAGTTACACGTCCCTTATTATCACAGCAAAACACACACCTTCAGGTTGAGGTTTAGGATGGTAATGAGACAAGTGACACGTGAAGAAACATGATGGAGAACACAGGTACAACTGAGGTCCCACCTCTCCATGGGTGACATCAAGAGGCCAGGTCCCTGCCTACACATAGATGCCATCAAAGCTATTCCTCCGTGTACTTTTCTGGACTCAGCCTGGGATTTCTGTTCCCTGTTTGCTGCCTCTTCTCGCTCTAACAGAAGAAGCCCTTAATAAAAACCTTGTCCATGCTTAAATTCTTTCCAGGTCCATTGATAGTTTCTACAATCTGGATCTTGGAACCCAAGTTCTATAGCATAATAAGACTCATTGAAACATTAGCTAAGTGTCCCTCCACCTCTCTAGATAGCTGACCTCTCAGTCCACATCTAGAAAGGGCTTTGTTCTACAAAAAGAATCCGTAAGACGTGTGAAGAACAAGAAGGAAAAAAAAAAAAGAGTTGGAAAGGGGGGAAGGAGCCGTTTCTTTAGAACCCTAGTCCTTCTCAGCCTGGATTACTTCAGACAGAGTAACCTCTCCATTCCCTTCCAGACTCCTCGTTCAGAGCTGCTTCTCCCAGAGCGCTTTGTGATTCCCTCCAATCTGTCATGCCCTCACTCCCACTAAATCTGCTCTTCCACGTCACAGACCTCAGTCGGGCCTCGCTTGTTTCCTCCCTCCTGGACGCTCTCCCCTCTCAGCTGGGAACGGAGGACTGGCTGTCTCCACTGCTTGTCAGCCCCGCAGTTTCCCTGCACTCCCCTGGACCACGTCGTCGCTGGCCCAAACAAGGTGACCGTCAACTCAAGGAAGATAAAAGTGAAACAAGAAAGGGAATGTAACTGCACTGTGTAGCGTGACTGAGGACAAACTTTACATAATGACGCAGATACCTGAAAGTCGATTTAACCAAAAACTCTGAAACTGAAGTGGGAGGCTGTTACTCCCCTACTTCAGCAAAAGGAGATTCGGATTCCCCTGGAGTGTACACCCTGCAGGGAAAACCTGCCAGCCTGGTGACAGCCATCTCCATGAGACGGTGACTTCCTTCCCCAGGTCCACTTGCTGGCTCTTTGTGGGAAGACAGCCCTTTCTCCTGAGGCCACCATCAGCTCCAGCAATCTAAGGAACCCCTTGCCTCCAAGTCCTCTTCAGCCCATCCACTTTTTTTTTTTTTAAACTAGGGATTGAACTCAGGGGCACTTTACCATGGAGTGACTTTCTTTTTTTCTTTCTTTCTTTCTTTGAAAAGAATCATCTTAGGTGTGTGTGTGTGTGTGGTGCTGGGGATTGAACCCAGGGCCTTGTGCATACAAGTGCTCTACCAGCTGAGCTATATCCCCAGCCCCACTCCATCCCCCCTTTCTAAGATGCTTCTTTTCTCTCCTGTGTCCCCCTCAAGCCCAAATCAAGGACCAAACAAAGAGGCAAGCCAAGGGACAAGGGATACCCAGTACCAGGGGAGGCTGGGGCAAGGCCAAGACCCAGGGACCATCTCCAGCCAACTGCTGCAGAAGACACACGGTTGCCAGATCTTTCCACTTGTCTGGAGAGAGCCTTGACCTTCTGCTTTGTATGAAACTGCCTGTTTTCAAATGTAAGCAACTGATTAAAATATCTTTGCTTAGACCCAGAGCCTGAATCAGCCAAAAAAATAAAAAACTGGTTCCTCCAGTTTGAGGAATTCAAACCTTTGTAGCAGATAAAGGAAAATGTTCATATTCAGCCAAATACAGAGGAGAGGGCCACACTAAAATCCAGCACTTGCTCCATAATCCACCAGCCATTTACTGTGCATTTACCAAAAGAAGGTACAAAAGAAGATACAATTGCAAATATGTATCTTTCGTGGCTCAGAAGCATCTGTCAAGGACTTGAGAGCCACTCTCAGGAATGTAGCCATCAAAAGAATAAGACTTCAGTCTCTAAGACTCTGAGAACACAGACTCCTAACCTTGATAATGACCAGCCAAGGAGCGCAGCTGGCCTAGCCTCGTTTACAGGACAACACTTCCTACTGTCTTACTTCTCCCTGAGCCCAGCCCCCCTCAGTTGGCTGGAGGTCACAGAGCTGAGCTATGCTGTTAGTCTCCCACTAGCTTTACCGTAGACACTACCTCCGATGGGTGAGATATGATGATGATAATGGTTGCCCAGGCTCCTTTTCAGGAACTTGAAGGCCATTTTTGTCAAAAGCACCGACTCTTCACTTGGGCCTGTCTGATGAGTGATCTTTTGACCTCAGGAGGCAGACAACCCCACCTCTGACCATGCTGACACCACCATTCTCTGAAGGTGCATTTCATGAAGAACGAGGAACAGGCCCCGGATGACTCCAATCACTTCCCCATGCCTTAAGTCACCCTGCTTCTTTATCACATCAGTTTCCCCAAACGCCAGCCTCTGGGAGTTGGATTGAGATTTGGATCTCCCCCTCCCAGCTCAGCTCCCTTGCCAATGAAACTCTTTCTCTTTGCAAAACTGAGTTGTCTCGGTGATTGGCAGACGGTGTAGCAGGCATCATGGGCCTGGTTCACTAACAAGACAAATCCTTTAACTTTCCACATTGAGTCGGTTTGATCTTTGAGAGGCTGCCAAAATATCATAATAATTCTATCATCATCATAGCAGCAGCAGCAGCAGCATTCTGTTAACTGGAAATCCTCAGCTCTTACTTTCTCATGAGAGATTTCAAGCAAGACATGAACTGTAACAAAAGGACAGCAAACTTTATTGAATAAGAGAGGAATATGGTCTCATGAAAGAGGTCAACAGTTCATTTCTTTCTTTTCTTTTTTGGTACCGGGGATTGAACCCAGGAGTGCTTGACCTCTGAGTCACATTTCTTGCCCTTTTGTTCATGTTTCATCTTAGGACACGGTGTCCGTAAGTCCTTAGGGCCTGGCTAAACCGCTGACTCACTGGGATCACAGGTGTGCACCCCTGTGCGTGGCTCAACAATACCTTTCTTTATTTCCTAGTTTTCTGGGAGCTAAGGGAAACTTCTTTTGGAGAACTTTGTCCAAGCACCACCTCCTAGCTCTAGATTGACAGTTGGAGTGCATCAGACTTCTAAATCCCACTCCTCACATTTTTACCTAAAAGTACACAAGAGAAACCCCCGCGGTGGCTGGGATAAATCTGCAATTACAATAAGATCAAAACGACGTGCTGAGGACCTAAAGGCAACTTTTGATCTTGGCCCAGGCCAACTGTTTTTAAACTGGAAACTGTTTTTATAGATTTTATGGCTATTGGACTCTGGTCAGTCTCTGATCAGGGCATAGGTCTTCCTTTTTTTTTTTTTTTTTCTTTTTGGTTCCAGGGATGAACCCAGGGACACTCAACCACTGAGTCATATCCCCAGCTCTTTGAGACAGGGCTTTGCTAAATTGCTCAGGCCAGTCCTCCTGCCCATTCATATTCCCTGTGATCCTCCTGCCTCAGCCTCCCAAGCCGCTGGGATTACAGGAGGGGGCCACTGGCCAGGATGTCTTCTTCTTATCTGGAGACGTTATCCCCTGAGAATACCGTGCTGTTTGGCACATGCTTTCCCCGCCTTGCCCTTGTGTCTCACATCTACCCAACAGTTCCACCTCTGCACAGTTCTGATCTTTAGAACCCACTTTACTTCAGTGAATTAAAAACTGGGACTTTTTTTTTTTTTAATTTTTTATTGTTGGTTGTTCAAAACATTACACAGCTCTTGACATATCATATTTCACACTTTGATTCAAGTGGGTTATGAGCTCCCATTTTTACCCCATATACAGATTGCAGAATTACATCAGTTACACATCCATTGATTTACATATTGCCATACTAGTGTCTGTTGTGTTCTGCTGCCTTTCCTATCCTCTACTACCCTCCCTCCCCTCCCCTCCCCTCTTCTCTCTCTGCCCCCTCTACTGACATTCATTTGACTTTTAATTGAAAATTGGCCTAAAACGGTTTCTTCAATAGAAGAAACAGTGCCACAGGAAAATGCTCACGACTTTGCAGACATAGGCTGAGCTCTTCTCTCCACTCACACAAAGCTTCCAGATCTTTCTCTAAAAAAGCCACCATGGTCTGGGCTTGTGGCTCAGAGGTAGAGCGCTCGCCTGGCACGCGTGAGGCACTGGGGTTGATCCTCAGCACCACATAATAAAATGAAGATATTGGGTCCACGTGAAAAACTAAAAATTAAAAAATAAGCCACCGCTCCCTGCCCCCGCCCCTCACACCCAACACTGTGTTCTCCCCCTCCCTGGGGTTCCCAAAGTATGGGCGTTCTCTTGATAAACTGCTTCCTTCCTAATTATTTTCTGTCCCCTCAAGTCCCTCCATCATATATACATACTCCCAACTCCTGGCCTCTGCCAGGGACTAGCAAGTGGACACTTCCCTGTCACGCCTTGTCTGGACTATAAGAAGGGAATGTCTGCGGGCTACGATTTGGTTTTGAGTCCCCCCATCATTCCAGGTCATTCAGTCTTTTGTGGGACACATGCTACAAACACTCCGTAAAGGGACAGGCCTCCCTCATCTGCCTGGAGATTTTCTTAGATTTTTCCTCTACAAACGCAGGGCAGCTCTCCAAGGCTCCTTGTACTCCAGACTGCTTGCTTATGTACATTTTACTCCTTTAACAGTTTTTCCTTTTGAACTCGGGCCAGTCCTCCTGCCCATTCATGCTCTTCCCCTCCCCAAGCGTTGGGCGGGACTCTGAGACCAGCTAGAGGCCCCAAGCCCTGCGTGTTGCTGCAACAGCCCCGCCCAGCCTGGCCCACTCATTTTGTTATCCTGCAGTAGACGCTCCCTGCTGAAAGAAGCGTGCGACAGAAAGGAGAAGCCGCGGGAGGTGGCCCAAGTGTGCATCCCAGACGCAACAGGGCAGGGCCCACTTCCCTTGCTGTCCACTCAAAGTCAGCCGCACGCCTGGTCGGGCTCTCAGCCATGATGAGGAGAAGCTTCCAGGTGGCCGCTAGACTGGGACACCGCAGAGCCCTTCTCAGGACCCCCTGTATCCTGCCCAGACTCGACCCTGCCGCAGCATTTGGATCCTCCACTGACTCCCTGGTGAGTCCCAGCCCTGTTACACGGGTGTCCTTTCTCCCCAGAGCCCCGGGCTGAAGGAACACACTCAATCTCCTTTTTCTGGCTTGCAGTCAGGGTGATGGGCAGTGTTGGGGGGAGCTTTTTGTTCTGGCAACAGGAAGATGTTTGGGGATGCCATGTAGCCCATATCCCAAACTGAACCCACCAGGACACTTGCACCTGGTCTGAATCTTGTGTGGTCACCAGCTGATCATTGTTCTTCCGCGGGGGCCCTGACGGAGGTCTTGGCAAGAAACTGCCCATATTTGTAATTGGCACATGAGCAAGCGACATTATAGAGGACACCCCCTGTCCCACAGATGGACATACTGTCCCTGCCCCAGCCATGGTACCACACGTCTTTGGGTTCCAGTACATGTTTCAAAGGAGCCGTTCTGCCTAGGCACACCCAGGACTGTGGACAGAGCTGGAGCAGCCCCGGAGGGAAAGGGGCTATAAAAGTGTCCCCTCGCCAACAGTGGTCTCACTCCCCAAGGAAGACAGTGTATGTCAGCTCTTGCTCTCATAAGCAATCCGAATCATATTTTCTCGGCTTCCCCATTAATACAGCCGGGCAAATACTAGCAGTTCTCAGCTGCAAAGAACTACTCGTAGCTTCTAGAAAAAGTGTAATGTATTGACATTGAGCCCATGGCTGTAATTTTTATTTTTATTTTATCTATTCATTTGTTTTCTATTTACTTATTTATGTATTTTGGTGCCAGGAATTGAACCCAGGGATGCTTTACAACTGAGCCACATCCTCAGCCCTTTTTATTTTTTATTCTGAGACAGAGACTCACTAAGTTGCTTTGAGCTTCACTAAGTTGCTGAGGCTGGCCTTGAACCCGAGATCCTCCTGCCTCAACCTCCCAAATCGCTGGGATTGGGGATGGGGGTGTAGCTCAGTGGCAGAGCACTTGCCTGGCATGTGCAAGATCCTGGGTTCAAAAACAGAAACAAACAAAAATACCCAAGTTGCTGGGATTGTGGGTGTCTGCCACTGCGCCCATTCCTTTCCCTCCCTTGTTTCCCTCTGTAGTGTCCCTTGCCCAGTCACTCATTGAAGTGCCCAACCCTCTGCCAGAAAGGTGGGCCCTTGTCCACACTCCAGCTTGAAAAGCCCCCAGACCAGGATGAGACTTCCTGGAGGCCACCCTCCAGGACATCATCTCCTTCTCTGATTGGTCCTGCCCAGGTCTCAAGGTTTTGTCCAGTGAAGACAGACTTGAAGGACTATGCCCTCCCCAATGCCAGCTGGTGTCCAGACATGCTGAGCCTGTACCAGGAATTTCTGGAGAAGACCAAGTCCGACGGCTGGGTCAAACTGCCCTCCTTCAAGTCCAACAGAGACCACATTCAAGGGCTCAAGCTCCCGTCCGGGTTGGTAGCTGCCTCAGGTAAGGCCAGGCCTGGGAGGGTCCGTGAGCACACCCCTACCCCAACCCACGTCAACTGGCCCTGCCTGGGACCCTCAGTGAGGGCCGTCCAGCTCCCTTGCCCTGTGTACAAAGATTCCCTTCCACCTGCTGTCTAACCACACCCTCGGCTGCAGCCTAGCAGGCAGATGAGAAGGGTACTCTTTCAGGTCTCCGGCTCCCTCCCTCCCATCTGAGGAGAACAGTCTCCGGTGGGGTCCCCACTGGAGAACTGCCAGCTCAACGCTCGCCCTTCCCAACTTCTCCCTGGTGTTCTTCCCTCACAGTCAAGCCTAATCCCAAGCCCTCCTCCCCAAACCCAGAAAGTCCAGTGGACCCCACCTCCGCATCTGCAGGCCTCAGTGCACCATCTCCACCAGCGAGCCAGCTATGGAGTGCCACCTTCACCCTTCCTTATGTGTGTCTGTCTGTCTGTCTGTTTTTCTTATGCATCTCATTTGTATACACGGTCCCCGCCCAGTGAGCGACACAACTGGCAGATGGCTCTTGGGCTGATGGCACAAAGCAAGGGGCTGTGGGCGGGGTTGTAGCTCCGCGGTCCGGCTCTTGCCTAGCATGCTGGGTTCAACCCCCACACCACACAAACCAATAAAAAAGCAGGGGCACTAAAATAATTTCTTTTCAAGAACTGTGGTATTTCCAAGAAAGGATGTAGTTGTTGTCTTGGGAGGAGGATGTGAACTTTGGTGGACTTTTTTTTGCACTGATTTTACTGTTTAGTATAGCTATGCTTTTTTTTTTTTTAATTTTTTTTTTTAGTAGGCTATTTTTAATGAATCATAGGTGAATTATATGAGTAATTACATGGTAAACTTCCGACACTTAGTCTTTTCAGTCTTGACCTGAAAAGCCCCAGGTCCTGTCTTTCCACTCAGCCAGGAGACTTCTTGAGTGCTTTTCCTCCCAGACATAGGCTTTCTGAAGCCAGGGATTATCTCTGCTCCAGACTGAAGACTCCCTGAAGGCGGAGCCTGGGTCTCTGCTTCTCTGTCCTTCTTTATTTATTTTCAGCTCTGGGGATTGAATCCAGGGGTTCTTTTCCCCCGAGCTACATCTCCAGCCCTTTTCGTTTTATAGTTTGAGACAGGGTGTCGCTGAGTTGCCCAGGTCAGCCTTGGACTTGCCCTTGGGAGCAGTCGGGATGACAGATGTGCAGCACCGCACCCAGCAAGGTTCTCTGTCCTTGACCCTGTACCAGAGGCATGGCTCAACCCAGGGTCCTACGTCCTGACAGGCAGGCCCCACGCCCCCGAGACCCTCACATGCCCTTCCTTTTCCAGCCGTGACATTGCCCATCTCTCCCTAGACAAAAGTGACTGGCGCATCTTCACCAGGTGCATCCAAGTCGAAGGACAAGGCTACGAGTATGTCATCTTCTTCCACCCATTCAAGAAGAAGTCGGTCTGTCTTTTCCAACCAGGCCCCTACCTGGAGGGGCCTCCCGGGTAAGGCCATAGGAAGGGCCAGGTTGGGAGCCTCCTCCTTGGCTCATCAGGTAGATCTAGCAGGCCCTGGGATCTACACCTCTCTGTAGGGAGCTGGGGTGGCATCCTCCAAGGCCAGGAAGGACATGCTTGGCTATCTGGTCCAGTCCCCATCCTGAAGGTAAGGGAGAGCCCCCTTATCAAGTTCTCAGAATTTTCTGGCAAGAAAAGACCTGAGAGGCCACTTGGAGAGGACATGATGCACTTGGAGGAGGGCAAGATCTGGAATCAGTAGCCTGACTTCTGGTCCTGATCTACTGCAGCAAGTAAGCAATCTGACCTCTGGGGTCTTAGTCTTACCCAAAACCCAAGACAATAACATCTACCTGCCAGTGTGACTAAGAGACATGATGCCGGGCCTCTGTGTGTGCTCATAAAGCACAATGTAGCTATCAGACATCGCTTATTGAACCCCATGTCTTGTACTTGGGGAAACTGAGGCACACGGAGGTAAAGGAACTGGCCCATGGTGGTTCAGCAAAATTAGATCCAGGACTCTAATCCAAGAGTTAGGACTCCAGCTCTCTCCGCTGTACCTTGCTGCCTCCAAACTTGTAATGGGCCTAGGGAGAAATTCACTTGGACAAGGATCAAGCTGGCCCTGGGCCTCATGCTTGTGGTTGTCTGCCTTCTTCATCCCTAATCCTGCTCCAGGCAACCAACAAAGGCAGTTGGTGGTGCTGGAATTCCTGCAGAGAGACAGGAGTAGGTAGGATCTGCTTTAAGGTTCTGAGGCCTCAGGTGGGCTCAGCGGTAGGGCAGAATTCACAGCGCTAAATAGGTATCAGCACCTCTTCAGGCCATGGATACAGACACAGCCCTTGGTCCCCGTGGCCAAACCAAAGGTATCCTCCATGGGGACACTGTTCTCCAAACTAATGCATGCAGACTCTGGGGAATAGTTTAGAATCCTACCTGGGACATGGATCCCCTCCCTTCTGAAGAAGAAAATCCTCAGGAGGCAGGAGAGAGGTTGATACATGGCTGACTTTTATTTAGGGGCTTGTGGAGGTAACAAAGGGACAGAGGAGGCCAGCCAACACCTGAGGCCAGTCAGTGGATTGAGGGGAGTGCAGGGAGGAGATTGGTGTCCACCAGGTCCCTGGCCAACAGAAGTGGGTGGCAGTTATCATTGGCCAAGAACTGCTCCACAGAACCAGTACTAGCCAATGGGTCCTTTCTCTGGTCAGTGAGGACCAGAAGAGAAGAGCGGATCTGGAGTTCTTTGACACCAAGTCTTTTTACCCCTGTTAAGCAATTCGTAAGGTGGAGAGGGGGTCCCTAGAAGTGTGCATGAGGTTTTGCAGACATTTACTCATTTAATCCAATGAAATAGACATTATTTTCATTCAGAATTCATAGTGGGTACACTAAGGCGCAGAGAGATTTAGCGACTTGCTCAAAATCAAACAGGTAACAAAGCCAGGTGAGAGGTGCACACCTGTAGTATCAATGGGTACTGAGGTAGGAGGATTATAAGTTCAAGGCCAGCCTCAGCAACTTAGCAAGGCCCTAAGAAACTTAACTGGACCCAGTCTCAAAATAAAAAATGAAATAAAATAAAGGGCTGGGAATGTGGTTCAGTGGAATTAAAAAAAGAATAACACTTCTGGGTTCCAATCCCTGGTACAAAAAAAAAAAAAAAGCATGTTGGAGCAAGAAGCCCACCAGGTGGTATGATGCCATGGCCCTGGCAGAGGGAGGGGGATCAAGGGCCTTGGAAGCCAAGGTGGTAGGAGCAGGAGAGTGACCATGGTCACACAATGTGGACAGCTGGTCTGGGTCCATGGAGAACTGCAACTGAGCTTTCAAAAATCAGTAACTCAAATCTGTCTTGTGTTTTTGCATTCTAAAGTTGGATGCCTCTCATTTTACCCAGTTTGACCAAAAATGAAGTAACTTAGGGATGGAGATCAGCTTGCATAAAGGAGAATGAGAAATTTACATACTTGAAATCAGTGAATGTTTACATCACCCTCTGAAGCGGCTCTCCCTTTTCCATGGGCAGCACTGCTCAGAAGTTCACCTTGCTGGCACTTCATAAGTCATAAGTCACATTGAAAATGTGGGCCCAAGCCAGGCACAGTGGCACATGCCTGTAATCTCAGCAACTTGAGAGGCTGAGGCAGGGGATCACAAGTTCCAGGCCAGCCTCAGGAAGTTGGGGCGACCTTGTCTCAAAATAAAAAATAAAATGGGCTTGGGATGTAGGACCCCTCGGTTTGTATGAAGACAGAAAGAGAGACACAGAGACACAGGAGGAGGAGTAGAAAAGGAAGAGGAGGAGGAGGAGGAGGAGGAAGGGAAGGAAGGAAGGAAGAGAGAGCTCGCGCCCAGCCTGACTGTGATGACGGTAAGGCTAGCCATGGGCCGAGACCATGCTTCAAAGACTAAGTCAAAAAGCAAAAAGTTTAGGGGTTTTCCCGTTCCTCGTTCCTCGTATGTGTGTACCCTTCCAAGTCATGGCAACTGCTGCCAGCAGTTAGGTAATGAATCAGAAAAAAGTGTTTTCCATTAACTATATGAGAAAAAAAGAAAAACAGTTTTTTCCTGGTAAATTAAAATAATTGTGTGAGTGGTTACCAGCATATGCTGAAGCAAAGCAAGAGAAAAACAGTTGATTTTTGCTGATTTCATCACATGGGGTGCAGCTCTGTGTCTTCTCCTGGGTGGCTGCCTGAGGCTAAAGATCCATGCTTGGGGGCCCTGGGAAAGGGAGACACATCAGGGGGTGTTCATGTAGGGTGGAGGGGAGGCCCCGTGGGGCAGTCTGCCCAGCAGCTCAGCCCTAGCCCTGCTCCCACACCCTCCCCAGGTTTGCTCACGGAGGGTCCCTGGCAGCCATGATGGATGAGACCTTTTCTAAAACTGCCTACCTGGCTGGAGAGGGGCTGTTCACACTAAATCTCAACATCAGGTTCAAAAAGTAAGTGTGAGGGGCTGGGGCTGGGGCTCAGCAGTAGAGCGCTGCGTCACACGTGAGAGGCCCTGAGTTCCACCCTCAGCACCACAGAAAAATGAATAAACAAAGATTTAAAAAAAAAAAACATAGCAATGATGTTTGGATGCTGATATTAAACAACAAAAAAGTTAAAAAGTAAGTATGAATCCCTGGGGCATTAGCTGAAGGCACGGCCCGTTTTGTCTCTGGGGTAGCTATCTATCCTTGGCTACTAGGGGGTGGGAGCCCTGCCAGCCACCGTCCTTCCCCAACCCACTCACCAGCATTCCTCTGCCTCCTGGCCACACTGCATCCCTGAGCCCAGAGCTACTTATGAGCCCTTGAGGAAGGATGGGGTAAAGAGAAGGGGGTAAAAAGGGTGATGAGCTGGGGGCAGTGGCACACGACTGTCATCCCAGTGGCTCAGGAGGCTGAGACAGGAGGATCACGAGTTCAAAGCCAGCCTCAGCAATGGCAAGGTACTAAGACCTGTCTCTAAATAAAATACAAAATCGGGCTAGGGATGGGACTCAGTGGTCGAGTGCCCCTGAGTTCAATCTCACCCAAAAAAAAGGGGGGGGGGGTGTGATGAGATGGGTGTGAGCTATATTGCCTCTTCTCCCAGCTTGATCCCTGTGGGCTCTCTGGCTGTACTGAATGTCCAAGTGGAAAAGGTTGAAGACCGGAAGCTTTATATGTCCTGCATCACCCAGAGCAGAGACCAAGAGACGGTCTACGCCAAGTCTTCAGGTAAAGAAGACCTTAGCCTCAGCCTGTCTCCAGCCTGCCCCCACCCACACACACACACACAACCTGGAGCAAATGGGAGGCAGGAAGAATGCTAAAGGCCCTGTCCCAAGCTGGGATCTGACTTTCTGGGGGAAGGAACTGCTAGGGATGTGGATGAAGGGAGGAACCCCAGTTCGGAGGTTCCCCAACCTGAACTGCAGGACTGTTCCGGCTCATTCGTAACCTGTAGCAAAACGCTCAGAGCAGCTCAGTGAAGCCCCCGCTGCCCTGCCCTCGGATGCAGCTCCCCTTTCTCTTGCAGGTGTTTTCCTTCAGTGGCAGCTGGAAGAAGAATCATCCCCTTAGGAGTCACTATGCCGACCCTGATGACCCTACCTGCTGGGGACCCTCATCAGAGCAGAAAGGGTCCCCAGGAGATGAGGAGAGGGCACTTTCTCTGAGTAAATAAACTCTCACTGCCCCATGCTCGGCCTAAGACCCTTCTTACAGAAATAAACGACCTTCCAGGGCCTCCTTGTACCCACTCTCCCACTCGGCACCAAGAGGAGACCTTACAGAGCACCCACCAGGTGCCAGGCACTGGGAAAGGCACCCAGTACAAGACGTACCCTGAAAGCCAGGATCCTGGCCCCAAGATGCACACCGGAGGGGCACCGAGCGCCCCACCAAGCTCCTCCCTTCCCTGTTCTGGCTACGCCAGGAATGCAGTGTCAACCCAAAGGGAAGTGGCTCCATCTTACTCTCCGAGCGTGTTTAGTCAGTTTCTTCACCATGTGACCAAAGGACCCGACTCAAGGTTTCAGAGGTCTCAGTCCAGTCAGCCAACTCCACTGCCCCGGGCCTGAGGTCAGGCAGAACACCTGGTGGAAAGTGTAAAAGACGAAAGCCCCTCAGGATATCATGCCAGGAGGGGGGACTCTGCTCACCAGGGACAAAATATGTACCCCAAAGGCCTGCCCACAGTGACCTGTTTCCTCAGCCACACCCTACCTGCCTCCTGCAGGTACCATCTGGTTAACCCACTCAAGTGGATTAATGCCCTCAGTAGGTTCAGGCTCTCATGACCCCGTCATCTCACCTCTAAATTTTACTGCATTATCTCACATGAGCTGTTGAGGGGACACCTCATATCCAAACCAGAACAGAACCCAGGCAGAAAAGGCTTTGTAAAGGAAGCTGGGCCTCTACCAGGCAGAGAGAAGGGGAAGAACTTCCAGGCAGAGAGAACAGTCTGGACAAAGGCACAGTGGCATTAAAGGACACAGGGACTTTGGAGAGTTGCCAGGCGTTTAGTAAGGCAAGAGTCCAAGGAAAGAGAAAGGTCAGGGCAGGAGGGGGCGGTGGGAGGCTTCACAGTCCCTGCTACGGAGCCTGAACTTCATCTTGTGGCCCAAGGAAGCCTCAAAGGGTTTGGGCTGGGAAGCAACATGAAGTTCTGCTTTGATAAAGAGGACTCTGGTGGCAGGAAGGGATTAGCAAGACTGAAGGCCAGAGCACTGGTTAGGGGGCCCTGCAGGGCTCTGCTGGGGACAGTAAGGGCTGCCTGGGTTAGAACCACAGAGATGAGAAAAGTGACACGCGTCAGAAGTGCAGGACTTTCCCACTGACTCCATGTGGCAGGTCGGTGAAGAGAGCTGTCTAGGATGACTTCAAGTCTCAGACTCCGGCCGGGGGCTCCAGGTGGCACCCTTAGAACACAGAAAGAGCAGGCTTGAAGGAGAGGTGAAGAGTGAGCTTGGTTTGATGGGCATTGAGTTTAAAGTACCCGTGGACCCTCCGCCAGGTAGGAAGTGCCAGCAGGATTCTGGATATTGTGACCTGGGAGCTCCAGAGATGAGCCACGGATTCAATTTATGAGTCAACATGAAAACTGTCGTTGGAACCCTGGGGAATGGCTTATGCAGAGTGACAGTGGAGGGCGGTGAGGGGGGGACAGAGATGGAAGACAGGGAGCAAAGACATAGCCTCAGGCCAGGCTAAGGTTTAAAGTTGGGACACAAGATCAAGGACCCACGAAGGAGCGAAGGAGCGTGAGAACAGAATAGCAGTGTCCGTCCCTAAAAAGACAAGGTTCACCGCATCAAGGGCTGAAGAGAAGGCGAGAAACGTGAGCTCTCCAGTGTGGTCTTCAGATGAATCAGTAAAGGGATCATTCCTTTTATTGTCTGGCTAGAATTCAAAGGAAAAAATTTCAGTGGTTTTCTCTTCTTCCCTGAAAAACAGATGCCTCCAGAAATATAATGTTATTCTTAAAACAAAGAACAAAATTTAAAAAAAAAAAAAACCTGGTGGGTTTTGGAATTTTGTTACCACTCATTTGTTGAACATAATGAATCGAACCTGGTTCTTGTCTCAACTTCTAAAAATCTTTTTAGTTTTTTCTCCTAATGTTAAAATAATCCAGGAAATTTGGAAAGTTCTCTATTGATGTATTTTCCTTTAATTTTATGTAAACACATTGTTTTTTTAATATATTTGTGTTTCAGTTAAAATAAACAGGTAAAAAAAAAAAAGAAATAAATAAAATGAGGCCTTCAGATTTGGCAATAAAGATGGAGGTCGGAGCAAAATCCACAGGATGGTGGGTGGAAAAATGAATGGGGAATGAGAACATTTTGCTTTCTGGGAATTTTGTTGTTATTCACAGAAAGAGATTTGATTGTATCCATAATTTGCTTTGGAAGTAGCTAGTAGAGAGAGACTGGAACTTTTAAGGGATCGGGAGGTGCCATCCAGCAGGACAGCTCTCTTGTATTAGACAGGGATGGAGAGAGCACGGGTGGAGATGGGAGTTACAGGAGAAGAGCTTCCCATGACAGTGGGAACAAAAGATAGGAGGTGGGGACACAGAGAAGGATGGGGACTGAAGGGGTTCATGCCAGAGCACCTCAGCTTTCTCAGTGAAGTAGGAGGCCAGGCCTCCAACGAAGAAGAGCAATTTGGAAACGCCCCCGGGGATCAGGAAAACAAGTTGGTCAAGTACACACGTGACCAAGGTGTGCTGACGGTAGCGAACAGGTGACAAGAGTAAGAGGAAGGTGGAAACCAGCTGGAAAACCCAGGGGCAATAGTGGACGTGCCAGGTAGGAGCACTGTTGAAGGAGGACGGAGAACAACGAGGTGGTGCCATTCCTAAGGAGGAAAGTCTGCCGTGGGGAGAGTTAAGGAGTGGAGGAGGCAGTGGCTACCTGCACCTGCCCAGGCCCTGGGAGCCCAGGGGGAGGACTGCACCAGGTGAGCCCTGTCAGCTAGAACTGCACAAAGGCCAGTGGGTAGAGATGTTCAGAAGAGGTCAAGATAAGGAGAGTTCTACCAAAGAATGAGAGCTCCCGGGGCATATCATGAAGGGTTTTATTATTAGGTCTGATAAAGCCAAATGCTGAAACAGATAAGCCTTTAAATCTCCACAACTTAATCCATATCTTTCGCAGATTTTTTTTTTCTCCCAATGGAATCCAGGAGTGCTCTTCCACTGAGCTACATCCCCAGCCCTTTTCATTTATTTATTTTTTTCATTTTGAGACAGGGTCTTGCTAAGTTGCCCAGGCTGGCCTGGAACTTTCAATCCTCCTGCCTCAGCCTCCCAATAGAATGTGTTTCTCACTCACATGAGGTCCAGTGGGTGGCATCTAGGATTCATTCAGACTGACAAAATCTCTGCTATCTTCAATGTACATGACTTAGAAAGTCCTATTGGGTGTTGGCATCCAGCTGCCGGATAAATGGAGAGAATCCACTTAGGAGGGGTTGGGGGACCAGGCCCAGAAGTGGTTCCATTGGCCATAGCGCAGTCACAAGCCCCCCTAAAACTGCAAGGGAGTTTGGCTGGAAAACATGGTCTAACTATATGTTGAAGAAGAAAGGGAAATGGGTTTAATGAGTGGCTAGCAGCCCCTTCCTCGGTTTGAGAGAAGGGACAGTAGAAAAAGGAAGAGTCCGTGTCCAAGCCCTTGTCCTGGTAAATGAGGAATTTGTCTTCAAGCCAGAGTTGGAGTTCCAGGATTCAGGGCTGGGACTGGGGACTGAGGAGATCAGAGCAAAGCAACCCCTTTGTGGCAGGGAGAATTGTGTACAAACTTAGCGGCGGTGGTGAGAGAGACAGATCTTTCCAGAAACTAGGACACAAGATTCTAGGCAATCAATCCCAAATGATGGAGGACAGACAGATAGACATAGATTACAGGGGCCTTGACCCAGGGCCTCCCAGAAGCTGGAAATGTACTGAAGGCCATGGACAGAAATCAGACCAACTCACTATCCTCTCCTCTGTGTACTCACATAAAAAGCCTCACTCCTTTGTACCTTCACAGTGGCCCTTGGGAATCTATTAAAACCAGAATCCAAATCGTTGTATACTGAAAACCTGGTTGCCTTTATTCATGGTCACGGAGAGCCTAATCCTTTCCTTCAATAGTCCTAGTATAGGAAGGGAAATATGGTTCATCCTATGCAGTCAAAGAAAAGAAAGAATAATACAATAGCTGTGTTTGGGTTTCCATATAAATAGGTTGGATGTGTCCTGGCCCCTCTCTGCTGGGTCCAGTTTCTAACAGCAATAGGCCCAGGTGGAAATCTGCAAAGTGTCAGCCTCAACCACCCGGCCAGCTGGGTAGCCAGGCTCCTGAAAAGAAATAAGGCCGTCAGCTGCTAGGACACTTCCAGGGCTTTAACAGGTGGCTTTCCTTCCCAGGAGGCCAAGTATCCTAGCCATCTTGCCTCCACATTTACAAACTCACGGTCATGGACAGTGCAGCTCCTGCAGAGGTGGGTGGGGTCGGATCTAGTAGGCCACGCAGGGAAACGTGGCAGCTTATCCTGCTTAAGGCAGAAGATACGTGTCCTTCACGTGCTGGAGTCAAGTGCCAGGAGAAACCAAAGAGCAAGATGTTGTAAGATCAACCAGTTCAAGAAGACAGTGGACATCAGTAGCCCAGACCAGCCCACACCCCTGAGGCCCTCCTGGAACAGAGACCAGACCTAGGTCATTCGTCACAGGTCCTGAGCGGGGAGCCAGAACTGCAAGACACAGTTTGTCACCGACCCTATCACCCACCAGGGCTTGCAGTGGGCATTTGTGGCCAAGTCATGCTGCCCGAAGCCACCACTCAAGGTCTCAGGAGATACACCCTAGACCCAGAAGCCCAGCGAGTGTGGTAGCCTTGCCTGCCTACCCGGAAGAAAGGCCTGAACTTCTCTGCGTCTTCCAATTCACTCGGACCCTGAAAAGTTCTCTGTGCTGCCCAATCTTCTTTTCCTTCTTCTTCCCCTCCCACTCCTTCCCTTCCCCTCTTGCTCTCCTCCCCCTCTGTCCTCTTCCTCCCGCTCTTCCTCCTCCTTCTTCCTCTTCCTCGTGTCTCTCTCCATACTAGGGATTAAACCCAGGGGGACTCGACCACTGAACTACATCCCCAGCCCTTTTTATTTTTATTTTGAGACAGGGTCTCAAAATAATCGCCCAGGCTGGC